TCTGATTAATCAGACGTGCAAGTTTTCCCAGCATAGATCATTTAGAGTGTTTCTAAAAAATATGTCTTTCTGCATGAATACATAATTTTTTGAAGGATGATAGTGTTTTAAGAGACACTAGCGTACTGAGAGTAAAATCAGTATGAGGCAGGGCAGGCCGGAGGACTCGTTAATTACAAAATCATCCTTGCATTTGACAGGTGCCAGCAGCTCAGTTATAATAAAATATTCAATAGTCAAAACATGTGCAGTACTATCAAACTGAATCAGATTTAAACAGTGGGTAGAAAAACTAGTTTTTAACCAAAGATAAACTAAAATGTTTATTCTTTACAGAATGTTAAGGTAATTGTTAAAATGTATAATAAAAAGCAGTTTCATGAGTTAAATATTTATTTGTGGGATAAAGGGACAAATATTGGACTAATTTCAAACAAGTAAAAAATAAATTCCTCTAACCTCTACTATATTAGGTAGTACCTGAGATAGTCCCTAAAAAGGTAACTATACAAATAAAAAATATTGTGTACGTGATCTTATGCTGATTAAAACATGTATTTMTTTTACTGCATGTTTTAAATAAGTGTGCCTTCTTCAGAGCTACAAACAGGAATGAATAATTCACAGATTGCAGTTGTTTATTAAACCCTTTGAATCATCAGTGAATTTAGCCTGCTTGAGAAGAAAGCTGATGGTCATTTAAAATAACTTACATTTTTATGCTAAACTCTGAAGTATCAAAATAAACTTCATGGTTGCGACTCTGGGGAAAACACCAGGCCTTCCTTTCCTTTAGTGTGACATTTGGTTCGGTTCTCCTCTTCTCAGCTGATGCAAATATGGTTTTTACCCAACAGATTATTTTTCACACTTATTTATTTAAATAATTTCAAGAATGGAATGTACAATCCAGACACAACCCTTCAATTATTTGAACAGTTTAGTTTGGTCAAGCAGCACACCAAGTGACATCTGTAAAAACCTTTTTTTAACCCTCCTCAGTCAGAACTCTGACATTCTTTTAGTGATGTGTTACAAAGTGGACAACAAAAACGTTTAGTGCTACAAAAAGTATCAGTGCAGAGGACTAAACTGATGTAAGTGTACGTTACTCTGTGTAGACTGAAGTGGAATAAAATCAAAGTCTGCATAACATTTTGCTCAAGATCRTTGTTTAGACACACATTTCCGCTGGAACTCCAAAAAACAAGCRTAATAAAAACAAGAACCCTTAACCTTTTTGTATATTAAAGCTAAAACATTTGCTGTGTTTCTCCAGTAAGTTCGTTCTATCCATTTGTCATTTGGAAAAGGTTCTCAGAGGTCAGGGTTATTTATCTTAACTAAAAGCTTCAACGTAGCTTCAAATCTGTCTTACCTCTTTTTTTTTATCTTAACTGACCTAGAGCAAACAAGACCTCAGTTTAAGATAGTCAGGAATTCTAAAAGTGAAAACACGCCTTCAAAAAAAAAAAACAATATGGGTTTTAAAACATAACTAAGCCACATTATGGAAATAATTAAAAACAATTGGGAAATTATGAATACCATTTAACCCTGKTGTGTTCTTATATTTTGATTAGAAAACACAATTTCCAATAAAAAATCAAATATAAAACAAAAATAGTGACTTCTTCTTCGACATTGCATATGCTCTTGCATCCCATTGCTGTCAGATGAAAACAGAATTTTAAATAATGAGTTGTACAGGTGGAACAAAGCTGTWATGTGACCTGAGTTTTGCTGGTGAAACGTTGAGGATTAAAACCTCATCACAAGGACACTTAGTGGGAAAACTCCTTCAGGAACACTGACTAAACTTTGGCTGTAAAAGAGGTGTAACCCAGAAGACAGTCGGAGACGTGAACTTTAAATCTGCGTTCATCGTCTTGACTTACAGGACTCGACTTCTGACGTCCTGAGGCACTTTGTGCACACTTAACCCCCACAGACACCCCCACGCTGTGGAGCGTACAATTTTCCCTTCACACAGACTCTCAAAACATACCTGCTGATTAAAAGAAATCTAGCAGTGTCTGCTGAAGAATGATGTCAGGCGTTAGTCTGAATACATTTGGGCGCTTTTTCGTATTCTTTAATGGAGTGTGGGTCTGTCAGACACACTCAGGGACTGATGAAATTGGCCTCACGCAGGTTGCTGGGGATTAATATTCAAGTGTGGGGGGTGACCCAGAAGTCCAATTCGTTGTTTCTGCTTCCTCTGCTCCGTCATCTGCACAGAGAAACAAACAGAACAGCACAAAGATGACATTTGCGTCAGAAGCACTTCTGTAATSTGACATTATGAATTCACTAGAAAGATGTTTTGAAATTGTGTGAAAGTTTGAGAAACCTGTCTTCATTGGGTTGCTTCATGATCTCTAAAACATGGGATTAAGACGTTGAAAAGATGGTAGTGAAGTAAATTAACAGATTATATGAGTGACCCAGGTCACATATGTTCTCTCTCTTTTGACAGAAGTTTCAGTCTGGCAATTTATGCAAATGTTACTTTGAAACTTTTACATTGCTGGAAATTTGACATTAAATGTTTTTTGATAGAAAAATTGTGATATTCCTGCAGGGAGTTCCCCCAGGCTGCAGCAAAAATGCTACAGAAGATATCTGCACTGTCAACCAGCTGTAGCATTTTATGGAAATAACCGTGATGTGAGATTCACTGTGATGTAAACCTTTATAGTGTTTGCAATGAACCRATATGAAAGTTTTAAAACTGAAGTGACAACAGCAGTTCACATTGTTCTGACTTCCCTCAAACTAAGGTTTGCTCATCAATCCAGTAAGAATTAAACATTATTTCTCCAAATCGAGGTTGCTCAAAGAGCTACGTAGAACAGTTGAAAAACCTGAATATTCATGACCTTCCATAAAACCCYACTTTGAAAGATCAGAACTAAGACGCAATCAATTGTCGAGATGCCTAAACTACATAGTTAGGGTTAGGAAAAAATCTATACTTAACACAAAATGTATTTTTTGTGTTTGGTAGATTATTTCTTTGTTGTAGTAATTTCTCTTGGTAATAAATCTCATCAGGCACCTGRTTGACAGCACCTGGAGGAACCAGAAKCTCAAASCAAGAGTCAACAGCAAAAAGCTRTTYGGCAGAGAAGATTTGGCAAATTTTTCATGTGCGCMACATACTCAGCTCTACTTTTCATCCCAYAWWTGCATGTTCCTTACAAATGTGACACCATTTAAAAAAAGAAACTAACAGCTTTCCAATGGGATAAGACTTATTACCAAGAAGCACTGTTACAACAAAAAAAATCATTTATTAAACACAAATTGGGCATGTGTATTTATTGTATTCAAGCTTTTGTGATGTATGTTTTGTAGCTAGTTTATAAACAATGCAAATGCACTAACAATTTTTTAAAATAAAATATCACGAGGGATTGAAAAACATTGTGTGATTACAATACGTAGTTCTGCTGGGAAGTGTTGGGTCCTGAAATTGATTTAGGTTTTGTTTTACATGTGCCGCCTGCCAACAATGGCAATATCCCTACCAAATGGGAACCAAAAGACGGAACCCAAAGGAAATGTCAATCCGATGGTTGTTCTGAGTGAATCTGTTACATGATACAACACGTACTTGCTCCTTCAGCTCAGTCAGCTGTCCAGACAAGTTGGCCACCAGCCTCATGGTTGACTCCAGCTTCTCCTGCAGGCTCCTGATTTCATTCTGCTCGCCCTCGGCATCGCTGCTCACCAGTGACATGGCACGCATCCGAGGAAACCAGTCCAGGTTGTGCTCCTGTGGTTGACCAAACATATCACCACATAAGGTAGACCGAAATTATGGTAGCCAAACTGAACTTGCGTTCTCGCTAGACTTGTTGTTTAATGGAAGTGTTTAATTTGCATCAAACTTAAAGTGTGATTGAAAAGAGTCCATGATCAATCACATGGTTAAACCCTGGATCATGTATTGTGTTCATTATCAATAACCTCCTCCATGTTGGTGCCAGTTGGTTTGTGTTATTAAATAGGCATAAACAGCATATCTGTCAGTGGAGATTAAARAAAAAAAAGAGGAAGTATACTGGTGTATGTGGGTGTGTGACAAGTCGGTGTGTTAGTGTGATTCAGTGCCATAAACTGAGTAAAAACTGCTTAAGGACAACTCCCAGACACGTGACACATCCAATCATGCCCAAAAAATTATTTTGTATTTGGGAGTGCAGTGACAGTCAGAGAAACGCCCAKTTCTACTGAAAATGTTTAAAATTATAAAATGATGAGATAAAACATGACATTGTGGAAAAACTCCTTTAGCTAATGTCGCATATAATTATTGAAAAAAAAAATCAATCTTGCTGCACCTCCGTGACCTCATGTGACATGTAGTTTTCAAAATGTTACTGTATTCTGAACACATTTGCAACAAACAAAGACGGGGCTAGGTTTTACACTGCCTATGCTTTCATTTACCTTGATCATCTCAGCCACGTAGCTCTCAGGACCTGTGTATTCTGTCGAGTCTTTGACTTTTACCAGAACTATGAAGTACAGATAGTGCCACATATTATGCTCCTCCTTGATGTGCTCTTCAAAAGTCACCGTCTTGTTGTCAAACTTGTCACGCTCCAGGCCTGCGACACAGTAATAACAAYGTTTGTAGAATGAACATGGTGTACTTAGGAAAAAAAAACAGAAGATGTTGGTGCTAGCTTCTTTTTTAAAATGCATATTCTATATCTACAATGAGCTGACATTAATGTTATTGTGACCATTCCTTAGACATCTCTTAAAGCTCTGAGTGCACTTTATTTTTCTGTGTCAACATCTTCTAACCCAGACTGCCTCCATGATGTCGGGATCAGGACTTGGTGGGGGCCAGGCCATCTGTTGCAGGACTTCGTGTTCTTCCCATGGCTGCGATGGTTATTTATGACTCGAGTCCTTGTCCTGTCATGTCATTGTTATTTAGGACTGAAATGACGCGCCTGTGACAGTCTTATATGACCTATTACATGATGGGTGGGGATACACACACACTCGATTTGTTTAAGAACTTTAACCCTCCAATGAACAATCATGGTTGTGCWAGTATTAACATTCTGCAGTACCAGTAACTACCATAGTTAAATGTTAAGTTCATGCATACGTTGAAATTAATTAATTGCTACAGTAACAAAACTAAGTGTTTCTCACAACTTTAGGAACGCTTTGATGTCAACTTGGGCCTGCAGACTGATCTGCATGAATTACTACTGGTGTAAATGCAACTTAGTTGCCCTCAGAACTAATTTTAATGATACCAGCTTTTTTAAAAATTTTGCTTCTGTCAAACTTTAATAAAACCATCAGTGGATCCAATTGAGGAAGACTTTGGTTTGCTAATTCATGGGGGTTTAGGCTTGCAGGCACAACTGGGCACAACACTACCAGTAGTTTCAGCAGTATTCTCATCTGACTTGCTCAGGTCAAACATAAAAAAATATTTATGCCATTCAGAAATGCTTCGTCTTGGCAACAATAAAATGAAACTGCAGACAAATCTAGAAGTTCCAAATGTTTTTTTTAAATGCAGCGTTTATGACTGACACACAAACACACACATAAAAAAACAAAACAGATATAAGGATAAAACATGCCACGCCCTCGTAYAAATACCAAACATAAGAAAAAACAAAGCCGTTGAAGACAGCTCTGTAAACAACCTCAGATTATTTCTGGCTGGATTGAAGAGCTAATGGCTTGTACTTTTTTTTACAAGACCACAGCAATGTACTTTGGTCTTGATTGAACTAGCCATTAGCTCATCAATTATGTTGGAATTAAAGTTTATTTGTCCAAATGAAGGGTGTTAAAAAAGCTATCTACAACAGGTAATATGTTCTTTTTTATTTTCAAACCTTTCCACAGGGTTCCACTTCCATAGCTGTATCTCTTTGAGAATACCAASGATTGACCAACCAAAACAGTTCTCATAAATGGGAGTTTGACTACGTTATTCTTAGTAACATGACTATGAGTTGATTTGGGATTGGGAAACGGTTTCAAAATGATTACTGCTTATTTTCCATTGAAGATGGAAGGGAGCCTGATGTGTTGGAGCAGAATAAAACCAGCAGCAGATAAAAATCAGCCAAGTGTATGATGAACATGACATAAATCAATCCCAGACTTCAGCCTCCATGAGATCTACAAACCAACAAACACCCCAAGAGACCAACTCAAGCAGGGGGGMATCAGGACACTATTCATGCAGAGACTGACTCCTAATCTCCGCATTTCCTGTTTTCTTGTGGTCCTTCTGGAAACCATAGAGACAGCAGCTCCCCCTGTGGCCTGGCYTTATTTAACATGAGTGAGTCAGCGCTGACGGCTGGCTGTTTCACACAATACTGTTCCCTTTCCATATGCTTACCACTTGTCCTGACTGCCTGTCTCAACATATGTGTGCTAACACAYGTCCTCAGGGTGCCACATGTAGTGCTGTTTCTCACACAAACACACTGTAAATGTATTTATCAGTGATGCACCTAGAAATCTGCCTGTGATCTGCACCAGCTGATTTGCAGCCTAACCAGTAAAACATGTTCGTAAAATGTGGAGAAGTTGTGACAAGAAACCAGCGTTTTTCYACAGAGGAATATTTTCTGCTGCTGGGCATGTGAGCTGACACTTGATTTATTAGCATTATTAATGCTAATAAAAGATGTTGGACAATGAAAACATCAGTGCACTGCAACTGTTTCTTTAGCTTTATTAACACAAATACCTTTTTTTAACCATGGATCKGCTGTTGTTCAGCTGCTCCGTTCTCACACCTGCTCTTAATATGTTTAATTATTTATTGTTAACAGCCAAGGAGTGTTCACAAAAGAAAATCAGATACATTGTAATACATTTTTCTGTTTGGTTTTATTAGAACAAATATCCTCTGTCTGATAATCTGGAAAATATCATTTGTAAATTTATTGCAAACTAACAAAATGTTTTTAATTGAATCAGAGATGAAGAAAAATATGCATCACTTATGACCTGTCCAGGGTGTATTCTGCCTCTCGCACAATGAACACTGGATATAGGTACCAGTTCACTATGACCCTGCACAGAAATGCGRATAAAGAAAATTGATGGATTTCTACTTTGATTTTGTTAATTAAAAATTCTTTGATAAAAAATAGTTTAAGAAAAATCAGTATCAGCAAGTCAGTGCTGTACGGCCCACAAAACTGGAACCATTATCTCTATTATTTATATAAATACAAATGTTTTTTACGTATTCGCGTTATTATAAAAACAGGTACAGTTTGGGTAATGAGCAGAGTTACACAAAACATATGGTAGGGAAATGAACTGCGTGCATGCGAGTGTGTCGGAGACAATGAGTGTGTGCCTGTGAGGCAGACATGAATTATAGAGGCTGAGCAGAGCAGTGGCAGGAAGCTCTCATGACTCAGCCTTCGTTGGAACGACAGCAAAATTAAAAGAAAGGGGAGAGAGAAATGAGGGGGAACTTCAGCAAACTGTATACACCTTAACAAATGTACTTACCAGAAACCTCAAATGCAACAGAAAATTGGGTGTTCTGTCTGGAATTTGGGAATAAAAGGCTTCGAATGGATTGTTGAAGACGCAGTGTGCTTTAAGTTCAGAATAATGTTGCCACAAAAAACAGGAAACATGGCATAGAGCATGGGTATAAAGCTTACAGGAGGGATTCAAACTAAATGCTAAGACCAATGTTTTCTCCCTTTGCCCATCTAATTCTTTATAATGAGTCAAATATTAGTTCTTTATAATGAGTCAAATATGTAGCATAGTTTATTCATCAGCCTTGCCTGCTAATTAGAAGGATATATAAGAATGTTTTGCTGTAGTTGAGCTACTAGGTTCTGTAACATCTGCACCACAACCTCAAGCACAGAATYTACCATTATTTTTGTATGATCCAATATATGTTTCTCTTAAAACTGAACTCAATAACAGCACTAAAAGAAGAACAAATAACCGTTACCGATTGTTATACAAATTTCTGACACTTCTRACAATAGCTATGTTTACATGCACAAAATTTTTTGATTGGATTGAAATGTTTTCGGATTAAATAATCCGAATGTACTGTTTACATGGACACAATCCGATCATGACAAGTGTTTACATGAACCAGACTTTTACTCAGAATAAAAGTCTGGACATGCGCAGTGYTGTAAACTTTCAGCTCTACTTCCGTGTTACAACYGTAAAYAAAGCTCCTCTGTGCRCTCAKGACGGACCCGTGTCAGMTTTTAATTAYGGTAGAGACGTCGTTACTCCTTGGTTGAGCTGCAGATGAYGCAATACGTGTTTTTTATTTTTATTTTTTGCTAAGCAACGTCTGCTGTTTGTCTCCTTTTTTATCTGTTGAGAGCGTGKAGGAAAAGTTCTGCRCGGCGCAGCGCAGCTGGAAACTACAGCGCTGGTGCCCCGCCTCCTCTAAAGAGCAGAAAGTCAGAAGACCTGCGCACTCAAGTCAGTTTTCCACAATCAGAAGATGATCCGATTAAGTGTTTACATGCACGTCATTCCGATTATCAATCGGCATAAACCACCCCTCTCATTCGGATTAAAAATTCCTTCAGATCAAGCTCAATCGGATCAGAATAATCCGAATCGGGTGTTTACATGATGCATTTTTATTCAGAACGGCTGTTTAATCCGATTACTTATGTCCATGTAAATGTAGCTAATGTTTGCAATATATGGTGCAATATTAGGCCTGTTAMRAYAACACATTTTGCTGGATRATAAATTGGCTCAGAAATTATTGCGATTAATAAAAATAATGTTTGGAGACCATTTTAAAACTAATGACCCCCCACATTTATGAAAGTTTATAAAATTGACTCCATCTTCGGCCATTTGTCTGTAGTTGGCTSGTGGAGGCAAGAAACCCAGAAATTCTTCTATAAAATTTGATCTATAAAATTTACATCTGTAAAAACCAGTTACGATCTGACCTGGACCTGGGAGACTGGGAAAACAACAAACAGGTACTGAAGCTGTAAAACCACTTTCCACTTCCTCTATCCAAGCCAGCTCAATTTATCTTGTGTGTGTTCCTCTGGCTTCATAAAATAATTGAGGTCACCCCCTCACTGCTTATGAAATGAAATTTCTGAAATTTACATAGTGTTAAAAAAAAACAACTCTCAGTGAACCAAAGGTTCGGCGTGGTGCCCTGAGGCATCGCCAGCTGAAAGAAGGTATCAGAAAACCAAAGACGCTTCTCTAGCTAAATGCCTGTTCCTGGGGCTYGCATGYTACAGAGGTTAGAGACCATGTGCCTGAAAAATCCAATGAGGGAGACACGAAGAAAACAGCACAAGCAGGCAAATTATTCTGATTTATTGTTTATCACGACAGGCCTACGCAATATAAGCAAACTGAATTGAATTCTAATAATAATTTAATTATATTTCATTGAGAGTTCAGAAAATTTTACCAGCTTGTGAAGAAGATCACAAAATAGTACATTWGAAGGAAGTAAATATGTTTTTGTAGACCTCCAATAAATGTTTGAACCTTTGTAAGTTTCTTTAGTAGACAAGCTGAGGACACTCACCACAAATGAAGCAAGTCGTTTTCAAAACTTCTTCTTTCTTTTGTTTTTCACTTCTCAAGTCAGCAAAGGTGTCAATAATTACACCAAAAATGAGGTTGAGGACGATGATAATGACCATGAAAAAGAACAGCAGGTCATAAATCACTCTGGCTGCAAACAGTGGCTCCTAAATAAACGAAACAAAACAAGGTTTTACAAASTGTGCATCGTAAAAAATGGATAAGTTCTATTCAGATATTTGATCCAAAAGGCAGGCGTTTGCATGCTAGGGATGATTTCATGAGTATAAAATGAGGTTAATCTTGAGCCTTTCTGGATGTTAATGGAAACAAGGCCACAGGTACCAGATGCTGAAGTAACAGAGACGACAGAAAGTCAACACGATGCAGCCGGTCTTGGTCAGGTCAGCATAATCCATTGATCAAATCAGGAACCTATTTCACATTTCTATTGCTCGCCCTGAAGCAGATACTTTTTGTCCATGTGTGTGTTTATCTGTTTTAAAAATATCTCCTAAACCACAGGATGGATTTTGATGGAATTTGCAGAAAGTGGTTTGATGAACGTCTACGTATGACTAACTTTTAGAGAAAAATGTAAATGACTTCAAAAGTTCAAGAGTAAAGACCTGGTTTAAAATAACTGCCACAGCCAGCTGAATTTAAAAAAAGAAGCGTCGGTTTTACAGATATTGATCTAAAATTTGGTGTGGTGGTAGCTGAGAGTCATGCCCAACACATTTTAAAGCTACGAGATTGCACAAGATCTTTGTTTAAAGTTACTTTCATCAACTCTTTCTTTCAAGGAAGGAATGCTTTGCCTTTAAAAAAGTTCTCAGAAATAATGAGTGGTCTTTACTGTGGGTGTAAGAGTTAAAAACCTCCCTGTTTTATGACCAGCTTATGAAAACCACGTAGTGTAGTATCCACTTCTTCATAACAAACTACTTCATTTCTTCAGAAACCTGAGTCCTCAGATCCAAGCAGTAAAGTGCTGCGCCCACAGACATTCACATCCTCTTTTTGACATCACTTTCAGTTGAGCCTGAATTCAGTTGAACTCTTATTTTAGCAGCTGGAAAGGAAATGTTGCGAAAGCTCCTTGTTTTTAAAATCAAAACAAGTTCAGCGCACAATGAGCTCACATGCAACTCACATGACCTGTGCTGCAGCCAGACACACACACGCACACACACACACACACTTGTAGCCTGAAGCCTAATCATACCAGGCACGCACCTCCTTTGAAGGTTTACGGAGAACATCCCCCACACCTCCTCCACTCCTCAAACCGTGACTCAACACGGTAACAATACACATCAGGAGAGAGTCACATGTCCGCTCCTTGTCGCTGTCCTCCTCCTCCTCGCCATCCTCGTTTTCTGATTAAATGGAAAGCACCAGAAGTTTTAGCCTCAACATGAAGAAACTGTTTTGTAACTACAATAACAGAAACTTTTCAATAAATCAACACACACTGTTGGGTTCATAYTGAACTGGTTAAACCAGACAACCAGGAACTGAAAGATTGCCCTGAGCCAAAACAAACTGCAGCTGAAAGTATTTAATCAATTTGAAAACACCTCATTAGCAATGTGCAAATATTTCAACTGTACAAACATCTAAAACATTTGCATAATCTATCAATCCAAAATAATTATAGGTTTGAACAGCTTCCTTTCTTTTATGAGTGAAGGGTTTTAATTTAGTTTTCATGTGAGTGTCTGTCTAWACTTTAATTCCTTTAACTAAAATAGTAAAATCTGTGTAAACAGCTGCTGTAAACTTTGATTTAATTTGATTTAAATGTAATTTTTTATTTTATATGGATAAAAAAATCATTATGATGCTACAGTAGGAAACATTCATGTTTTTATACCACACTCATTGTTTTTGTGTGATATGAAAATGCACTGATGATAAAATGTTGCTCGTCGTACTTATATTTAGCATTATTAACAAATAAAATGAAAGCGGCACATTTCAAAATACCTTCAGATTTTCAGTAACTACTAAGTTGTGACAAAGTAGTATAAACGTTTCCTTTAAGTTTAAAGTACAATTTACTTTTATTTCCGAACAAACATCCTTGACTTATTTACATAACTTAGTATCAGCTATGTTTACACGTTTTGGCGCTCTGTGTGACGCCTCTTAGTCAAAGCAGAAGTATTTTTCTACAGCTGGAATGCAAAAAATCTAGATGGAAAAATATACAATGAGCTGAGTCTGGGACAACTTAACACCTCTGTTCTGACTTGAACACATTGTAACGCTGACAGAAGTGTATACATTTTTAGATCTTGGTTCAATGTTGAGTTACAGTCGTGGGGAAAAAGGAAGTCCACCCACTTGAATAATTTGGTCTTCTAAAGGTCTTGGAGTTCTAAAGTTTTTCTAATCTAACCTCAAGTATTTTAACACAGATTCCACACTGCCATTATTTAATAAACAAGAAACAAAGCCAAAATGAAAAGCTGCTTAGAAATGTAAAAGTAATAACTTCATTTGTCCCTCACATAATTGAGGGTGAATTTTGGCTCACTCTCTTTTTACAACATTGCTTCACTTCATTGAGGTTTGTGGTCCTCGGTTTCTGCACAACTCTCAGGTCCCACCAGTCCATTTCTATCAAGTTGAGGTCTGAACTTGACTGCACCCATGCAACATCTTGATTCTTTTCTTTTTTCAGCCACTCTGTAGATTTGTTACTGTGTTTGGGATCATGGTCCTGTTTCCAATCCAGCTGTCAGATGGCCCCACATTTGACTCCTGAATATTGTTGTACACAAATGAGCTCAACTGACTCAATGACTCCAAGTTATTCAGGCCCTGTAGCTGTAAAACAAGCCTAAATCATCAACCCTCCACCTCTGTGTTTGACCGCTGATTTGAGCGACATACTTTGGTTTTCTTCAAACATGTCATTCTGCATTATAGGTAAATGTCTCTACTTTGGTCTTATTTGTGTAAAGAAATGTTGTGCTGCTATATTCTCTTCAGACAAAAAAAACCTTTTCTTTTGGTAACTCTTCCCAACAAGCCAAACCTGTTCAGTCTTCTAATTGTTCTGTCATAATCTTTAACCTGCTAACTGAGTCCTGTCGTGTCTGAGGAGGAGGAGGAGGTTTTGGTAATATGTAAATTTTTTAAACACTGCGGTTTGGCTTTCGTGTAGATTTAGGTCATACACACCTGGGAAGATTGGCAAGTGTCCTAAAAGTTTTTTTCACTTGTGAATAATCATTTCACTGTAGAATGAAGAACTCCAAATTATTTGGAAAATACCTTTAAGCTTTCCCAGACTGATGGGTGTGAACAGTTACTCATTAAGGTCATTGCTCGTGTTTGTCCTGCTCACCTTTGTGTTYGCACTCATTACATCTTTTCCATTTTGTGTTTTTGTACAGTGTACTTGGTTAGGTTTGAACCAGGTTAAAACCAGGTCATTTTCATTACATCCTGATATATAAACTCAGGTGGGGGGCTTTCTGCTCCCCTTGCAACTGTAAAACTTTTCTTTTTACTGAGAAACAAAAAAAGGAAAAGAAAAAACACAGATACAAGCCTATTTGCATGTAATATCATTACATACTAACATTTTATCTTTAAATAGTTTGTGGGAAATAGTATTTGCTGATTTATGAGCCCAAACAGCCTGACTGGTGGGAAGTTCCAAGGAATTTAACTTTTTTTCAAGATGTGGCAGTAAATCCATGTCACATGCAGGTTAAAGAGGTCACACGTGAGTTACTCGGGTCAAACTGCAGTCATCTGACACTTGCAGGCATTTTAGTGTGAACTGGTGTTAAAATGCAAAACAAAACGAAACAGAGCTCTGTTTTGGTAAAACAAAAAGAATCACAATGTTGCTTTCATTCTCTGTAATGTGAGAGATCGCTTCTCCAATTGATGACTGCAACTTCTCTGCTACCTTCCTCTTATTCAGTTCTACGTGTTTTTAATTTTTCCATCGGCCTCCCCGTTTCTGTAGCAAATAATTTAATTGCTCGGTTAGAAAACAAGACACATTAAAAACCTTGAATATTAGTCTAAACATGCTCTTAACAGTTTCTAAACACTTGTGTAATTTAGAGTAGGACATTTTCTCAAACGCATTGACTATTTGAATTCTTTATAAACCAACAGATACCCCTCTGTGGGGTCTTAAACAATTACCTTCCAGCAGAACACTGGAGCTGCAGTTTTCATTGTGACACATTCTTGTAGTAAAAAACTCTCCAGCCATGGTGTCTCCATTTTCTTTAAAAATAAGAACGAACACATTAGTCTTCTTGTTGTTTTCACAGGCAGCTCTCGTTAATGTTGGAGCAAACAGCTGAGAAGGACAGCTGTGTGTCCTCACTTAGTGTGGCGTTTGGTATCCGGTCCACCTCTAGKATGAAGTCGTCTTTAAAGAAGATGTAGCCGACAATAGAGAACAGGTAGACCAAAATGAGAGCGAGCACAGCCGTCAGGACAATGGAGCGGCCATTTCGAGTCACGCTCTTGATTACGTTCAGCAGCGTCTCCTCTCGGTAAACCAAGTCAAACAGCTGTCGAAACACGACACACATTACGAAGGTTCAGAAACAAAMAAAAAAAAAAAAACAACACAAGCTTTGAAAATAGTATGCATTGTGTATCTCTGGTCTTTAGTTAAAGGGGCAATATCATGTCAAATCAACTTTTTTGAGTTTCATATCATGTTATAATGTTTTACTCTCATAAAAACATGCCCAAAGCCTTGCTTTGACTCATTCATGCATGTTTGAGAAACCCTGCAGCATTTTTAGGAAGCCACGCTGAGGAGCAAAACGACAGGTGGGGACCAGAAGCGCCCCTGGGACGTGTCTTTAAGCCGAACTTCCTCATCACGGAGCACACACCCCGTCCATGACTCCTGCAGGCTCTTGGCAGTAACAGAGCAAAGTGAAAGTGAAACTTAAACTGTCTGCTGCTCTCAACACTACTACTCACTCTGTGAAGCTCTTTTCAGATGCAAAATACCTTTGAGAAAATGTATTTTCAGATGCCAAGTAAACTGCATATTAATGCACGCGCAACCCCCCCCACACACACACACACACACACCCCGAAATGGGACGGGACCGAAGCAGAAGGTGGTTCTAAAAGAGACAGAGGCCAATTTCAGGGTGTTTAGAAGAGGAAGTGATGAGAGGATAAGTTTATTTTCTATTTAAACATAAAAACAGCATTTTAATAACAACTAAAGGTGACAAATATACTTCATTATGGTATAGTATTTAAATATATGCCTGAGAAACACATAATATTGCCCCTTTAATAAAACAGACACAACAAAATATGGGTTTTGATTTAACATAATGTGGTTTGATGCAATAAAACAGGACGAGGCAAATGAACGATCCTCGACAAGTCAATGAGACTAATCTTTTATAAGCACAATGAAAGAAGGACTTCTCACAAACATAATCTATTACACTTTCATAGCAACTGGCTCATAATTAACAAAACAATGAGGCGTAGTGTAAAATAAAGTGCCAGGCAACAGATGTGTTTCACACTCTTTGTGTGACTCCAAAAACTACGTATAATTGATCCATATTATAGATAATTATTACCTGCTGTTAATGATAGTGATCATGTAGTTGTCTCTGTTTGCCTGTCTGTTAGCAAAATATTTCACAAATAACAACTAAAAATATTTTAAAATAACTTTCAGAAAGAATGATTGAATGTATAATATTAACTGATCAACATATAGACTCCAACACAAAATGGCTGGCACAGTTAATTCACCATAATTTAGTCATTTTCACAGATAATGAGCTCAAATTTTGTGTGGTTAGTTAAGACACATCTCCAACCCAAAATGTAAGTGCTAACTGATTACAAAAAAACAAAAACTTCATTTAAAACTCTGGCACGTAATATGCATTATTTCAAAGMACTGTCATTACAAATGGGATAAATTGTGTCAGAACACCTTGTAGCAAATCTACATAGTGAAAACTCAAAACCACGTTGCTCAGTCTATTTCTGACCCACTTGTATTAACCATCCCTGACTGACTATGGTTTTTCTTTAGGAATAATAGGTAATCTGCATGATTGGAGTTAATCAAACTGCTGTGTTAGTGAAAAACAAACACCAGTACACAGCAGATATGACACCAGAAGAATAGTACACACAAAAATAAACACAGATTCAACTTATCATTCCCTTGAAACTTGTAAAAACAAACCCATTTGCAGAGTCTTCATCTAATGARATAATGGGTCTGATAGTATCAGAACAAAGAGTAAACAAATGATGTAATCTCAATTTTAATTACTAAACTGCATCCAATAATGGCTGCTCTACTGATGCGTTCAAATTGTCCACGCTTGTGTTCATTAATCGGTACAAACCAGTTAATCTTCACATCCCTAATAAAAAAACTGTTCAGTTTGATTTGTTTGCTAAATGTTCCTCTTCCTGCTCGCAGCACCTAACACTTCAAAAAGAACAACAACAACTACATTTTATCACCAAATAAGTCAAAGTTTGGCTTCTTGGACTCAGAATCAGATTCCTAAAAGAGATTTTACACAACTTTGATTCACATGTCATCACTTAAAAAAAAGAAAAAAAAGAGGTGTTGGATATATAAAATAGGATAAATGTGCATGTGCAGACAACATGTCTCACCAACAGACTGTAGAAAAACACGTGGACAAACACCCCCAGGCAGCAGATGATCAGGTAGAAGAGGTGATAGAGGAACTCAAAGTCCATCACCATAGCTTTATATCCTCGCGTGAAGGTCCCCCGATTTCCAACAAAACTTATTAAGAAGATGATCTTATTGCAAACCTGGAAAACAAAAGGACGAGTCTTCAGTGATTAAAATGTAATGAAGGTTAATGAGTCCATAATTATGCTAATAATTTCTTGGAACAAAAAACGCTAATATGGGTGGGGCAAATGTTCAGCTAAATGAGGTCATGGATTTATTCACATTCGTGAACTACCTGCAACGTAACTTCCTTCAAATAAGAAACCTGGTTTTCTGTACAAGGTAAGGGATTAACAAAACTGACATCTAAACATGTTTTAGTTGTTTTACAGCTGAACTATTGCCCATTTTAATAACTAACACATTTTGTAAGTGATGAAACAAACTAAAAAAGGCAAAAACAGATCAAGGGGGAAATCTGACCAGGTGCCTATAAATTAGATTTTACAGTAACTAGGTTACTGCAGCATATGGTAGCATCTTCTCTGGTTTCTTTCYTTGACCCAGTTTATCTCAATAACCTGCTTTCGTCCACAAATGTAAACAAAGAGACTTAAGGGGAGACGGGACCATGTATATTTTATGTTGTTGTGTGTTAGTGTGGGTGAGTAGAAAAGAAAAGGAAAAAAATCTCTGGCGAGCTAAGGGGCGGTGTCGCTCTCTTTAGGGTCCAGTGACGCACTTCACACTCCATCTTACAGCCAGCCTGTGCCAGGGAGCGCTGCAGGGCACAGAGGGCAACACCACAGGCAGGCGTGGCAGCGGCACACTAAGTGGGCACGAGTGTGTGAGGGGAAAGGAGAAGTGGAACTGGCCGGGGGGAGGTTTCTCGCTACTTGAAAGTGCACAAACTTATGCCTGTGATAGCATTTCTCTAGGGAAAATTACCACTGAACCACATAAAGTATTTTCTCACACACAGTTTGGAGAAGGAAGATTTCAACGGTTTCTACAAAAACAAAACAAAAAAAAATCAGTAACTGTAAATTTGTCCTAGTGAGAATCTTTGATCAGGTTTTAAGTCTAAGAAAGTTCTAAAACTTTTATCCCATTATGTGAAGGTAACGCAAGTTTCAGCAGGGCCAAAACTAATGAGGATTGCTGCCATCTTCAAACAACCCCAATCTCAAAAAATAGAAGATCTGAACTATTATTATTGCTGTGTGTAATTCTGGTAAGATGACCCTTTTGAACGAATGAATGATACTTTATTGATCTCATAAAGGGAAATTACTTTATTTTGGGGGTGAAATCACTCACATTGAAAGCACCCAGAAGGAAGAGTGTGGGCTCCAGGCCCACAGAGAAGATGAGGCGAAGAATCGTAACAATGACCAGGGCTTGGATACCCAGTGGTTGGGGCATGAGCACAACAATGACCAGCGTTGCAAAGACTCCCACCCATAGCAGAGCAGACACGTGGGGCTCCAGCATTCCTGCAGAAAATAAATGCAAATGACAGAAAAAAGGGCAAGGCATGGTCAAGCTATATGAAACACCTGCCAAAACTACCACTGGTCTTTGAAGAGTTAAAATCATTGGGCCAGTATGAAATATACAAGTGTTGTTTGTAAAAGTATGTTGATTATGAGATTTTAACAGGCTTCTAACAACTTCCCCATCAGAAAGAATTTGAAGTCAAAGCGTGTAACTTACATAACTTAAAGAAGTGTATGACACAGTTTTGCTGGGAGCGAGTGCGTACGTGTGCACTCCGTACTTCAGCAAGAGCCACACTAATGCCCCCCTTGATCCCTAGGTAAATCCAGGATTAGAGCTCGAGTCATGGGTTTCATTTAACAACATGTCACTCAAGCTAAAATCTTCATCTAGGTTTGATCAGCCTGAAAACAAGGACACAACCTGCTGCTTTCTGCTTGTACCAGCTCCATGAGCACATGGTCACAATCAATCATTAAATGAGAAAAACAATCAAAGCAGGTGAGAACGGCCAGGAGAAAAAGCAAAAGGACGTAACAGAGAAGGGGTGCCCCTCTTGTTTTGCTCCCTCCATTTTTATTTGTTTTATTTTGCCCTGCTGTCTTTCTCAAGTTTTCTCTACTTTCTTGTGGAGATCACATGACGAGTGCCACTTGCATAACAGCCTCTAAAAATACCTCAGCTGAAAAATTCATGAGGAGGGAGCAGCTCCTGTGATGTCGGAGACTGAAAGGAGCACGCTTGCTCGCAAACTCTTTTACTCGCACTTCAGGTTAATTGTGTGACGCTGTTGAGCAAACAATCAGAGAAACATGCCGAGTCGGAGTGTGTGCGCGTGCTGGGAGTGTGTGTCATGCTAAACCAAAAGCAGCTCGTCAAAAGGCAGTCAGTCATGCATCCAGCCAGAACACACTGACCTACATCTCCTGCTCTTATAACCTTTATTCTAAAGCCCCAAGCAGATGAGGGAGAGGAGATCACAGGCTGTGTGTGTGTGTGTGTGTGTGTGTGTGTGTGTGTGTGTGTGTGTGTGTGTGACAATAAAAAAACTGTTTCAGTTTGACTTTTANGTGTGTGTGTGTGTGTGTGTGTGTGTGTGTGTGTGTGTGTGTGTGTGTGCTTAATGGGTGAGAAAGAGAAAAGACACAGTTCAGAAGCCATAAAGTGCCTGTTGCAGCAGGTCAAAGGTATGCTGGAATCTCGTGATGTCCTGCAGACACAACAAGTTTCTGAGTAGACAGATGATCTTGTTTACATGTTTGTGTTTTTTGAGAGACTGAAAACATTAGCTGTTATCATTTTACACTGCAACTTTTTGTGATTTAGCATTTCTTAGAACGCATTGCAAAAAGGTAACAAAAAAAGTCGAATTTAAAAATGATTAAAATAAAAGTATAAAGTAAAAAGCAGAACGTAAGTACAAAGTAGATGTTTCACATGGCTTTCAGTCCACAGAGAGGACTTGTTTTTTGCTTTTCTTGTAGTGTTTAGTTTGTACCCAGCTTGCAAGCATTATGAGTGAGCTGCATGGACTTTGTTTCCTGTGTTTGGTGTGTTTTTGTGGCATTGTTACATTACCACATACAGGCGTGGTGTAGTTACCTACAGCTACAGCGTTTTAGGTAGTTTTGGGCATTTTCGTATGGAAGAAAATGTTTCTGGAAATGCTGCTATGCTTACGAGGACGACAACAACTGAATGATTCAGAAAAAACAAGGTTTTTATGTGAACAAGACCTCAGTAAGGCACTGAGTTAACAAGTCTAACAACCTTGATGACAGAAGCTGGATATGAGTCTGGTTTCATGATCTGTGTTTATTTTCCTTAGTTTTCTAGTGTTTCTGTGTTCCCCTGTGTATCTCTCCCCTGCTGTCATTCCTCTAGCCCCGCCCTTGCTCACCTGTTTCCTCTTGTGTCTAATCCAGGTGTTTCTTGTCCTTAATTAGTTTGTCTTCATATTCTGTGTCCTGTCTTCATTGTGTTTGTCTGTTCATTGTGCTGGTTCCCCAGTCAGTTTGGTTGTCTCTGTGTTTTTCGTGTTTGCTCCCTGAGATCTCCTTGTGAGTACTTTGAGCTGCCTCGTCAGCCTTTTTGTTTGTTTAATAAAGCCTTTTTGTTGCTTTTTGGATTTCTGTCTGCGCCCTGGGTCATTCTGCACACAACCTTACACCTGGGTGTTTTTGGCCTTGATGCTCTGCATCTTCAAGTTTGCAAATTGCAACCATTCCTATTGTATTGTATTGTATTGTATCGTATCATATTATACTGTAATATTACATACTTTTGGCACAATTTACTCTTTGCATGTATGTGAATTTAATAAATATAAGATAATCACAAAAGGAAAATGTGAAGTGGTTTGGCACATTTAAAATGATAAATTTGAGTAACTTTCTAAGGGTCAGATTTATAAAAGATTGCGTGGAAACCATACTAAAAGTGAACGTACGGCCAAAAGGTGGAAATGGCATACGCCAAAAAAAAAATTCAGATTTATAAAACCGTGCATACGCATGTTTCTGTGCACCTTTCATTTATAAATCACAGCCGCACCTCATTTTGCGCACGAGGTCCCGCCTCAGGTTCTACCTTCTTTACGCCCACACTCAACCATAAACAGTCAATGCAAAGTACCTCATGAATGTTAAGATGTATTTAAATCAGTCAGCTGATCAATGTCAACAAAAGTGATTGGTTCAGACACGCACTTTGTGCGTCTGGAGGATGACAGGTGCTGACAGCTGCTCACGTGAACAGAATGTCTGTAATTTACACAGACTTTCTCTCATTTTGCTTTAGAGTAATCTAACGATTTTTAGAATAAAAAAAGCTCAGCTTCAAATTAATTTTCCCTCAGAGCCTGCAGGACGATAAAAATAAAAATAAAATTAAATGTCAGATAAAATTAGAAATAAGTACACCGCTCTTCTCCCCGTCCTGTCCCCTCCTGCCTGCTCTGTTATCTGTGGCAGACCACCCCCCCACCCCCCGCGACAAACACGGACTTTAAAACGTGAAGGTTTATAACATTCACACTGGCGAGGGTGGGTGCGCCCTGCGCGTGTATCCAGTGCGTGACTTTTGCTGTCGTGGTGTTGAAATGTCTCTTGTCGGGGAGGGGTCTGTTGGTCAGGGAGGGGTCTGTTGGTCAGGGAGGAGGGGTCTGTTGGTCAGGGAGGGGTCTGTGGGTCAGGGAGGGGTCTGTGAGTCAGGGTCGTCTGAGGAGGAAGGAGATGAATGGAGTTGCGCATGGGAACTTTTATTTAAGATTTAAGTTTTTTTTTATTTCAAAGGTCCTTATGGCTCAGCAGCAGAAGCATAAATATTACTGTTAAGAAAGCTGAATAAATCAATAATCTACGTCTGATTACGAAGGTAAATTAAATATCTGACAGTGATCATTACACAGTGTGGCTCTAATTCCTCACTTCACCATCTGTGTCAGAGTTTCCCGTCTCCAAAATGAGCATACACATGGGTCAGAGCTGGCGTGAGGCACCGCACATTTCACGTCAAGTTTGGATTTTATAAATCACAACCTTGGCGTAAAAAAGTGGCGTACGCAAGTTTCTGGGCTCATATTGTGTGTACGCCAGTTTTATAAATCCGACCCCAGATCACTTGTGAAATATGTAAATGTTTACATTTAATTGTAAGTTGACTATTTAAACGTAACATTGTGTTAACATTAAATATAATCAATATTTTACTTTGAGGTTGCCAGGAGTAAAGAATTACTCGCATCTACAACATAAGTCAGGTTGGGTTTTGTTTACAGCAAATAAAGCAGCACTGCTAGGTTTTTTTCTCCATAAAGCCAGAAGGCAAATATGAGCTGAAGCAATGAACACTGTGGACGTGCCTTAAGCCAAGATAGGGGTCTTCTCAAGTCCTGCTCCTAATCCTGATCCTGATCAGGTGATTAGAAGTCAGTGGATCAGAACATTGTGAAACGGTCGCAAAATGAGATCAGTAGGTCAATGCAGACTTGCAGTGGAAGGTTCGAGAGTCATCTGTATGGCAACTCAGAAACTTCTTTCACCAGCGGCTGACATGTATGTTCGAAAACATTTGTCTCAACTTGTGTCTCTGACTCAAATCTTGAACCTAACTGCTACTGTCGTTTCGCCACATAACCATTTTAACATAAAACACATTTGACATTCACGTCATTCCATACGCGGCATGCTTGCACCTCTTAGAAAATGTAAAAAAGAAAAATAAAAAAAAGATAACCCAGACATTCATATCATTAAGTCCCCATCCTTCCTGTTTTGTTCTGCTCATTGCTTAGCCACTTTCTGAACCTGGTTCTTTTTTAAATGACTGCATAATCAGCCTTTTACCTTTGGAGGTGGGCCATGAATACATAAACTAATTCAAACATTACAAGTTTACCCTCCTGAAAACAAAACTTCCTTTTTTTCCAAAGCTTACACTGTTCAGTAACATACTTTCTAATTCATACATGATTTCTTTGCAACTGAACATATCACACTGATATCAGAAGTCTGTTTATGTTTCCTCAGTTAAGACTGCAATATTGTGACTGACCTCCATACACCCCCTCCAGGGGGTAGAAGAAACAGACCAGCAGGTTCATGAGCAAAGCCAGTTTAAAGGAGACGTTGCTCCACACGGACATGTTTCTGGARCACCAATACAGAACATGCTGGGCTGCAGACAAAACAAGAAGGAAAACAACAGTATTTATTATTTTTTTTTGTGTGTGGGGGTTTTATTATGAAGAAAAAAGGAGTCCAAAAATAATTTTTAAAAATGCGTTTAGTTAACCAAATATTTACTGCAGTAGTTTTAAAAAGAAAATATCTTTAAAAAGAAAAGGATTGGAGGAAACAAAACAACAAAAAATATTTTAAAAGAACTAAAAGAAGTGTTTTAAAATGACGAGTTTCAACCACTTTTACAAACACGTTTTTCTGACCTTTTCTTTCAGCCTTACTTTTCAGAGACTACTTTGTGAAGTCAGGTTTTATAGGAAAAGAGAAACAGCTGAAGGGACTTTTCTCTGCCCATTTCCCCTCTAAGTGAGAGACTAAATAAGGTTTTGAGTGGGTACGAAGTCTAGTACGTGGATTAAAGTGTCACTAAGAGTGGGTGTGGGTCTGCGTCTGTGTGCTTGAGCACGCACACTCTCACTTGTGATTCATAAGGTTACTGTACAAGTGTTTCACTGCTTGAAGGATGTGGAAAGCCCCTGTCTGCTTTAACACCGTGGAAACATGCACATGTAACACGAGCACATACAAGACGGTGCAGTTGCCCCTGCAGTACCGGTGCTTATGCACAGCTGTCTATTCATTTTCCACACACACACACTTATCCTGCTCAGGATCACCTCCCAGCATGCATCTGGTAAGAGATGCTGTGCACCTGGGCAATATGATAGTTTAACCTCAATTCTGAAAAAGTTGATTTGTTGTGTAAAATGTAAATGAAAACAATACAATTATTTGTAAAGAATAATCAGCTGAAGGAGAATTTTGCAACAAATTAGTTTTATTGGCAACAGATTAAAAAGTGCATTTTAAAAAGGCTGAATCTCTCAGAAGTAAAGATGATCAGAGGTTCATCAGTCTGCAAAACCTGCAACAATTTTCAGAATAACCTTCATTAAGTCAGGACTGCTGAGTCGCTCGAACCACATTCACACTTCATGTCGTGATGCTCAGTTCCGATTTTTTTCTCAGATCTGATGTTTTTGTGTAGAAGTTCACATTATAAATGAATAAATGAAATGTGACCTCTATCTGACTCCAGTGTGAACAGTCTACAGCCTTGAAGCAACCCACATGTTTTAGTGTTTGACCTCGCCGCTTCCCTCCTACTCTGGGGCAGAACTGAAAGTAGAGAAACAAACTAAAGGATAGATCCTATCACGCTAGTGTCAACGATTTAGRTCAAAAAATCGTATTCTCACTAACTGTATTGTGACATTTAGGCTGTCACAAAAATGAAAGATACTTGATGAATATGGACCAAATTTTTTTTTACAAAATTGGATTTGGGTCTTAAAGCGGCAATATTATGTGTTTCTCAGGCATATATTTAAATACTATACCATAATAAAGTATCTATGTCACCTTTAGCTGTTATTAAAATGCTGTTTTTATGTTTAAATAGAAAATAAACTTATCTTCTCATTACTTCATCTTCTAAACTCCTTGAAATTGGCCTCTGTCTCTTTAAGAACCTCCTTCCGCTTTGCCCACTTCAGTGCGGGGGTGGGCTGCCATGATGCAGTTTACTTG